AGAAAGGAAACAGTATAACTGTCTTTATTCACAGATGACATGATTATATGAGAGTACTTCAAAAAGTTCATGGAAAAATAGAATTTAAAGATTATACTAATCCTGGGCCGGCCCGGTGGTGCACTGCTATAGTGCGCTGCTTGGGAAGCGCAGCGGCGCTCCCGCCGAGGGTTCGGATCCCACATATGGACTGGTTCCCGCTCACTGGCTGAGCGAGGCGCGGGAGCAACACCGAGGGTTGCGATCCCGTTGCCGGTCCCGGTCCGGTACGGGGGCGACACTGAGGGTTGCGATCCGTTGCCGGACACGGAAAAAGACAAAAAGGAAAAAAAAAAAAAAAGATTATACTAATCTTTCTATGAACTATTTGAAGGACTCTTGTATATGAAGAATTTCCTAAGGAATCTACAAAACAACTACTAGGAGTAATAAGTGAACTCACTAGATTATAGATAGAAGATCATAACTTAAAACCAATTTTACATCTAAATACTAGCAGCAAATAATTACAAAATGAAATTAAATAATCAATGACAGTAAATACTTGAGAATATACTCACACTTAACCAAAAACATATAAGACCATTACACTGAAAACAACAAGATATTGCTATTTGCTGTAAGAAATTTATGAAGACTTACATAAATGGGAGGAAAAGTGTTAGGGTGATGGATACAAAACTGTGCTATCTAGTTTAAGTGAATCATTGTGCGGCATATGCATATATTGAAGCAATACACTGTACCCCACAAATATATAAAAATACATGCTAATGTATTTTCCATAAAATATTTGCATAAATAGAGATATATACCATGTTTATGAATTGGAAGAATCAATTATTAAAATGACAGTTTCCTCCAAATTGATCTATATATCAATTGAAATTTCAATAAAAATCCCAATAGGCTTTCTGTATGTGTGTGGAAACTGACAATTCTAAAATTTATGTGTAAATGCAAAAGATCTAGAATGGCCTCCAAAAAATGTTGAAGAAGAAAAAATTGGAGGACACACACTACCTAATTTCTAGACTTATTTCAAAGCTACAGTAATTAAGACAGTGGGATGTTGACAGGATAGGTGAATAGATTAAATGCAACAGAATAGAGAGCCCACACACAAATGTTCAATTGATTTTTCACAAAGTTGCCAAGAAAATTCATTGGAGAATGTTAAGTCTTTTCAACAAATTTTGCTGGAACAATTGAATAAATCTATGAATAAAAATGAACCTTGATCCCTACTGCATGCCACATGTAGAAAGTAATATAAGATGGATCATAGAGCGAAACATAAAAGCTAAAACCCGACAGTTTCTAAAAGAAGAAGAAAATATAGAATATCTTCATCACCTTGAGGTAGGTAAAGATTTGTTAGAAAGGTCACAGAAAGGAACTAAACATAAAATAAAAATTGATAAATTAGATTTTATCAAAATTAAATTTTATTTCATCAAAAGATGCCATTAATAAAGTGAAAAGGCAAGTCACAGAATGGTAGAAAATATTTTCTTTTTTTCTTTTTTTTTTCCTTTTTGTCTTTTTTACTGACCGGTAACGGGATTGCAACCCTTGGTGTCGCGCCCGCACCGGGGACCGGCAACAGGATCGCAACCCTCGGTGTCGCGCCCGCACCGCGCTCAGCCAGTGAGCAGGAACCCGTCTCCACATGGGATCCGAACCCTCGGCGGGAGCGCCGCCGCGTTCCCAAGTGGCGCACTATCCAGTGTGCCACCGGGCCGGCCCCGAAAATATTTTCAATACATATATTTACAAAGGGCTACTATACAGAATATGTGAAGAACTCCTACAAATTGATAAGAAAAAGATTAACAACAATAAAAATGGGCCAAAGACTTGACCTTACCATAAGAAGTTAAAGAATTATCACCAATAAGCAAATGAAAAATGTGCTCAGCATTATTGTTCATCAAGGAAATGTGAATTAAAGCCACAATGAGCCACAATTTTACACCCACTTGAATGGTTAACATTAAAAAGACTGCCAACACCAGTGTTGGTGAGAATGTGGAGTAACAGAAATTCTAATACTCTGTCGATGAGATGTAAAATGGTACAGCCACTTTGGAAAACAGTTTTGCGGTTTCTTATAAAGTTAAGCATACCCTAGTATCCAATAATTTCACTTCCAGTGAAGTGAAAATATATGTCCGCACAGTGACTTGAATGTTAATGTTTGCAGGAGCTATATTCATAATAGCTAAAAACTTACAATAAATATTGAAGTGAATGGATACATGAATTGTGATATATTCAGACAATGGAATAATAGCTTACAATTAAAGAGAGTAAACTAGGCTAGCCGGTTAGCTCAGTTGGTTAGAGCACAGACTTGTAACACCAAAATCATGGGTTCAGATCCCCATGCTGGCCAGCCACCAATAAATAAATATATAGAGAAAAAATAAATAAAAAGAGTAAACTGATACATATGGCAATATGGTTGAATCTCAAAAATGTGAAGTAATAAAGCCAGACACAAAAGAGTACATACTATGTGATTTCATTTGTATGATAATCTAGAATGGGCAAAACTACAGCAAAGGAAAGCCTGTCAGTCGTTGCCTAGGGATAGGGAAGATGTACTGAGTGCAGAGGGTACAAAGGGACTTTTTTGGGATGATGGAAGTATCTTAATTGTGGTGGTGTTTGCATCGGGATATACATTTGTAAAACTCATAATTTATGAACTTAAAATAGGTGCATTTTATTTTATGTAAATTATGCTTTAGGAAAGTCAGACTTCAAAAAAGACTACCAATGCCAAATGTTGGCAAGTATGTACAGCAACTGAAATTCTCATGCACTGTCAATGACACTTTAAAATGATATACCACTTTGGAAAACTGTTTGGTAGTTTCTTATAAAGTTAAACAACATCTACGACCCAGTAATTCCACTCCTAAGTATTTACCTAAAAGAAATTGATAGAGTTTGGATGTGTTGTCCCCACCAAAACTCATGTGGAAATCTGATCCCTAGTGTGACAGTTTGAGTTATGGGGGCAGACCCTCATGAATGGATTAGTACTCTCCCTAGGCGGGGGGAGTAATGAATGAGTTCTCACTCTGTTAGTTCCCACCAGAGCTAGTTGTTTGAAAGACACTGGCACCTCTTCTCTCTCTCTCTTTCTTCCTCTCGCCATGTGATCTGCTTGTACCTGCTGGCTGCCTGCCACTTTCCACCATAAGTAGAAGCAGGCTGAGGCCCGCACCAGATGCAGCTGTCCCAGAATCGTGAGCCAAATAAACATCTTTTCTTTATAAATACCCAGTCTCAGGTATTTCCGTTATAGCAACACAAACGGACTAATACAGAAATGAAAACATGTATCTGCAGAAAGGCTTTAATGTTCCCACTGGCTTTATTCATAATAGCCTACAACTGGAAACAAACCAAATGTTTATCAACAGGAGAATCAAATTGTCATATAGTAATACAGCAGAATAATATTCTGTAATCAAAAATAATTAATTGCTAGGGCCGGCCCGTGGCCCACTTGGGAGAGTGTGGTGCTGATAACACCAAGGCCATGGATTCTGATCCCTGTATAGGGATGGCCAGTTGGCTCACTTGGGAGAGCATGGTGCTGACAGCACCAAGTCAAGAGTTAAGATCCCCTTACTGGTCATCTTTTTTAAAAAAAATAATAATGATAATAATTAATTGCTGATATACAAGGCAAAATAGTTGAATTTAAAAGATAGTGTTAAGTGAAAGAAGCTAGACATAAGAAGACATAATGTATTATTTTATTTATGTGAAATTTATGAGCAGACAAAACTAAGCTATATTGGTAGAAATCCAGCATTGGTTGCCTAAGAGCATAGAGATTTACTACAAGAGGGACAAGGCGACTTTCTAGGGTGGTACAAGTGTTCTGTATTCTGATTGGGGTGGTGGTTATATGAGTATATATTTATCAAAGCCCATTGGATTGTACACTTAAAATCTGTACATTTCCTTGTAGGTAATTTTACATCAAGCACATACATGCTCTTGAATAATCTGACAGAGATAAAATAATTACAATAGTTTTGGCATTTTTCATATGTTATTTGATGATGCTACAATTCATATAAGTGTCTGTAAAGACAGAAGAAGGATGGCACTGGTTGGGTAGTGTAATTGGCTTATAGAGAAAAGATAATGTGCTGTACACAAGGACAGTTTATTTCACTTAAAGTCAGTATTGTATAAAGATTAATAGCAAAGGCTTTATAATGTAACCAAACTGGATTCAAATCCTAGTTCTGCCACTTACTATGTGATCTTAAGCAATTAAATTTGACTCCCTCTGTGCCACTTCTTGTATGTAAAACAACTTAAAATTATAAGAACTAAATAAGTTACTGCATACCAAGTGTTTAGAATGTCTGGTATGCAGTAAGCCTTCATGTATTGTTTCCTGTTCTTATTTATTTACTTTTCATTCTTATAATTCATTATTTATATTTATTTTCTCCTCCTCCATCTCCTTATTGTTATTAGTTATAGAGAACTGGCAGGTATATGAGACAATGTGTTTACTTCTTCATACTCTAATGCTTTCATTCATACTCTTCCTTTTACCAATAGTTCTCAAAAAGCAATTTCCCCCTCTCACCTTGCTAGCTCTTGCTTGTCTTGCAAGACTATTCAGACTACAACTCTTCCAGGAAGCTTTTCCTGACCGTGAAATGATGCTTAGCATTTTTTGGTTCCTACAACATCCTCTATTCACTTTCATCGATATACGATCAAGTTGTCTTATGGTTTTCTTCACTGTTTATTTTGCTACGTAGTAGGCTTTGTGAGATCAGATGTAATGTCTTATTTTTCTTTGTGTTTAAATCCGTGTCTGGTACAGGGTAGTACTCAATTCATCCTTGAGTGAATGTACAAATAGCATAAAACTTTCCTGTTACAAGTTTCTGTTTGATAACCATGCATTAAAATAATGTTAATTCGTCTGTTTTATCAACTTTGGCTTTCAGATTTTTATTCTTGGAATTATCCTACTTCCAATTCGTGCCTTATTGATAGGATTAATTTTATTACTGGCGTGGCCATTTGCTGCAATTTCGACAGCATGCTCTTCTGAAAAACTGACCCACCCGATAACTGGTTGGAGGAGGTAAGAAATAAACATGTTCAAATATTAGGTAAATCAAGATCAAAAATGTTCATCATAGTTTAGTTAGTGATCAATATTTTTATCTAACTACTCAGTTTTAATAATTTGTCTGTCAGCTGAAACTAGTCTTAACTTATATGTGGAAATTGCTGCCCAAGCAGTGTATGATAATCTTCTGTTGAAGCTGTAAATTCCTAATGCTAAAATGTTTTGTTTTCTGAGTTATTGCCAAAAAGTGATACATCCCTAGTTATGGAAAGTATCCAATTAGTATACCTGAAACCATGACCAAAATACCTTGCTTTCTTTTGCTCTTCCTCAGTTCTCACATTTGCTTTTGTCCTGTTACAGTAAGGCTATGGTTTCTACAGTATATAATTAAGTGGATCAATTACATTATTTTTATTAATTACTTTTGTGATAATTTTTAATAACAATTTAATTATTAATTAGTGTAGTGTAGCTTTTTAAAACATGAGCACTGAGGCAGAATGGAACTGCTTTAAGAAGCTTAAGAATATTATCTAACTAGGATGGTATTAGAGAACAGACTGATCATAAATTAACAAAGTTACTGGTAAAAGTTTATTCTTAGTGGGCAGAACCAAAATGTTGTCATCTGCATGTCTTGAACATGGGGCCTCTTCATGTGGATTTCATAGACTCCACACGGATTCCAAATGTGTAGATTGGTTTGGGGGCACCATTGAACTCTGAAATTATGCACATTTTTTTTTTATTATGTAAGAATGTATTCCTTTTATCCAAATCTCAAATGCAGGTATATCCTCCAAAATTTTTGAGAAATACTGTTCTAGAAACTTTTAAAGAAATATGCAGTTTGCTGTTTGGTTCATGTTCTAGTGAACAAATGTAAATATCAAACACAAAGCTGGTTTGAAGTGGAAATGAATCCAGTGCTGGCAGTGCCCCAGAGAATTCTCAGTCCTTGCAAGTCATACTCCTTTGTTTTATCACTCAAGGTTGTGTGGTATAAAACAACACTTCAAGGGATGTTTTTCATGACTCACCAATTACTTTCAGGTTATCTCTTTGGTTTCTGTTGTTAGTGGCTTATGAAAACCTAGGATGATGGAAGGAATAGTCTATGAATCCAGAAAATAGATATAACAAATGTTAGAAAAGAAAGTTTTACTTTTGTCAACTAAACCAGTGTCTCTATCTCCTCTCAAAGAGATAATGTTGAAGTTGTTTTGTGGCACCAGACTTTTAGCCATTTTTAAAACATTTAAATAGAAGTGTTTAATGGCTCTGAATTTGAGATATCTTGAAATGTAATATCAGAAGCTACAAAACTGCAGATCAAAAATAAGAGGTGTGGAAATTCCATGGAGGGATGTGCATTGTATCCTTACATAAATCGAGATCTCATCTCTAAACTAAAGGGAAAAAGGGGAGGTGTAGTCATTTCTTTGTGCCCTCTGGAAAAGTACTTTGGATTTCTGTGTCTCATTTCTCCTTGCTATAAAATTAAAGTTGCAGAAACTTTCTCAGTAGCTAGTTACTAATAGCTCCTCATTATATTATTACAAGTATGTTGAAAGAATTAGATAGGAAGCCAATTTTTTAAAGCTCTTATTAGATACTTGGTGGGTGCTACACGTTTTATTTTTCATGAAAAGCTGTATGCTTATTCATATACTGAGATATTCATCCTGTATTTGCATTTCTAGGAATACGTTTTTGTTTCCCCTACTTCATTGAGCTTACAGTGCAAACGCAGGATGGATATCTCAGTATGTAATAAGAGTAAAGAATGTGAGAAAGCCTTGGAATGAGATGAATACATAGGTGGGAGAAATCCAATTATGTAATGACTGTGTGAGAAGTTATTTGTTCATTCATCATCCCTTAGAAGTTGTATGACAACTCAATGCTGAAGGGAAGTACTTCAAATATCATTAAGAGTTGCTACTTGAGAAAAATAAACAATGTTTTTTGGTGGCTGGCCAGTACGAACCATTGACCTTGGTCTTACCAGCACCACGCTCTCTCTTTTTTTTTTAAGTGTTTTGGGAGATAGCACTATCTTCATTATGCAAATGTAGAGGATCTGAACCATTGACCTTGGTCTTACCAGCACCATGCTCTCTCTTTTTTTTTTAAGTGTTTTGGGAGATAGCACTATCTTCATTATGCAAATGTAGATTCCCAAGATGAAGACTTTGAAGGGCGGTACAATTTGGATGTCTCAGTGGGTGATGTGTGTTGAAAATTTGTTTTTCTCACTTTATAGTCACAGAATAATGGAGCCATTTATTAGCCACGTGTCCTTGGGCAAATTACTTCTGTGCCTTCTGTTTCTTCCTCTGTAAAATGGGTGTAATAATAAGTAGGTGGAGGATTAAAGAAATTAATATATGTAAAGCATTTAGAATAGTGCCTGGCAAATGGCAGAAAGAACTCCTAGTGTTAGCTGTTGTCCTCCTTGGCTTATGTTTTAAAATGAAATGCTCTGACATGTTTTGGTTATCTTGTATTTAGAGTAAAGCCCTGTTGCTAGCTTCAATTAGCAAAGCTAATTATTTCTTTTCTGTATTTGTTTTTAAAGGAAACTTACTCAGTCAGCTTTGAAGTTTCTGGGTCATGCCATGTTCTTTTCAATGGGATTTATAGTTACTGTGAAAGGAAGGATTGCGTGTCCTTTGGAAGCACCAATTTTTGTTGTTGCCCCTCATTCAACATTCTTTGATGGAATTGCCTGTGTTGTAGCTGGGTTACCTTCTATGGTATCTCGAAATGAGAACGTACAGGTTCCTCTGATTGGCAGTAAGTACTTGTAAGGTAACATAGATAAAATATTTTCATGTTTATGCTTTAAATTAGAAAAATCATATATAGTTAAAAGATAAGCTTTTTAAAAACTTTAAAATAATAAAACATTTCAAATATGTTTTCTTTATTTTAATGAGGTATATGGAAAGAATGGATTTATGAAAAAGATTAGAGACTTCCCTATCTTAGCCTCATAATTCTTTTAAAAACTTTTTTTTTTTTTTTTGCAGCCATCTGGTGCAGGGATCTGAACCCATGGCCTTGGTGTTATAAGGCTGCGCTCTAATCAACTAAGCTACCAGACCAGTCTAGAAAACTTATCTTTATCACTATACCATCATGTCTTTCTGTTCTTATGTGTAGCCAGAAAGACCAATTTTCAAATACTAAACGTACTTGACTTTTTTTTTTTTTTTTGAGAGAGAGAGAGAATTTAACCAAAGAATCTGTGAAAACACAGGTTACATGCTATTTCATTAATTTCTCTTCAGGTATGAGGCTGATAAATACACTGTCTTTTCTCCTAACTCTGTTTTCTTCATTATTGTCCCCCAAGTCTTCGTGAGGGACCTGTGTGTAACTCTTTGAAAATTATGATGTGGGACAATAAGTGCTTCCTGCCATAAAAAATAATGAAGCAAGCTAAGTGTTTTTCCCACCAGGTGCTTTGGTCTCTCCCTCAGGAATTAGTCTCCAAGTAACTGCTCCTGGTTGTCCCAAGGTTATTGCAAACATCAGGTGATGACAGAGCAGGTGTGAAATTTGCCTGATTTTGCCCTGGTGCACTGGAGAAATAATAGTAGTTCTTGCAGCTTTGTCATTCAGCTAAGATATTTCATTTTTCAACGTAACTCCCATGCTTTGTGTAATAGGGCTTTTTCCTGAAAAGATGTGTAGCAATAGATTTTTGGTAAATTGAGATTTATTTTGCATGTGCTAGGAAGCTATTTATTCAGAAAACAGTTGTGCTGAAAATTTTAGTGCAATGAGTAATAACTGCCCCCTACTTATGTATACTATGAATTCACATAATCAGTTTGCAGGGTATTTCTAAAATAAAACAAGGTGATCTTGTGGTGTATTCCAAAGGTTTAATGTCAGTTGAGGAAGAAGGCCTTTAAGGAGAAGATTATGTTTGCTTCTTTTCATATTCTTGCTGCTTACTTCTGTTAAATCAGTGAAATAGTTTTAGGTATAAAAATATTCATCTTTCCTTTTGACATTAGAAGCTAACTTCTAGTAAACTTTGTATTGGAGTGGTTTTTTTTTAATTGTTATCTTTGATTTGCTGTCGTTTTAGTTTTCCATAAAATTTGTTTTATGATTTATCCAGTATTATTGCTATGATGGCTTTAGCCAAAAAATAGCTTGGTTGTGACTTTCTGTTTGTTTTAAAGGACTCTTACAGGCTGTGCAACCAGTGTTGGTGTCCCGTACAGATCCAGATTCCCGAAAAAACACAATAAATGAAATAATAAAGCGAGCAACGTCAGGAGGGTTATGGCCCCAGGTAAAACACAGTAGTTGTTCATTTAAGTATATTGAGAGTTTATTGTCTATAGACTTACTTATTTGGATCCACAAGTAGCACCATCTACCTCTGAATTTAATTACCATTTTAAAGACAGATGGAAGATACTAAAGCTAAATTATACTCAACAATATGGTGGATTTAATGAAATAGCGATTAAGATCTTCAATATTATCTGAAGTATATTTAGACAGTGCTTTTCAACTCAGGAGGTATATCAGAATCACCTGCAGAACTTTTTCAGACTTTATCATCTTACTACCCTCTTCCCTGGAATGCCTTTTGAGGGTCATGTAGGGACAATATTGTATAATAAGCTGGTGGTGATCCTAATAAGGATCCTTGTGTCTTTGCTCAGTTGAAAACAAGTGATCTCTAGCAGACTAATGATCATGCAGTTATCTGGCCACCTATTATGACATGTAGATGTTAAAGTACCAAGAGGAGCATGACTAACCAGGAGGTTTTAGAAACCAAGGCATGTGAGGAATGATTTAAAAGAAATGATTGAGAAGCATTGGCATTTGAAATAAGAGCTTGAGTTTTCTCTTTGAATCCAAGGAATATATCTAGGACTAGTAGGTGGAAGATAACAAATAGATATCAGCTTATTTTGCTCATTCTGAGGAAGAACTTTCTCTCTGTCTAGAGGTAGAATGGTCTGATATGGAACCTTTTTCAAGAATTTTCAGGCATTGGCTGAGCAACCACTTGGGGGGGATATTGTAGAAAGAATTCAAGCATTAGAGATGCTATGGGTGACTTTTATGCTCCTTTTAGCTCTGAGATTTTATGATTTGCTCTATGTCCATTCATTGTTAATAGTGTAACTGTAGAATAAAACATATTTGATATTGTATCTGATTGTCACAGGAAGCCATTTTTTTTTTTTTTTAAAGATGGCCGGTAAGGGGATCTTAACCCTTGACTTGGTGTTGTCAGCACCATGCTCTCCCAAGTAAGCTAACCGGCCATCCCTATATAGGGATCCGAACCCTTGGCCTTGGTATTATCAGCACCATACTCTCCCAAGTGAGCCACGGGCTGGCCCCACGAAACCCAGTTTTTTAATTAGAGGATGGAATTATACCCATTCATAATTTTTATTTGACCTGTTATTGTGGCAGTTTAGCTCAATAATATTTTCCCTCTGTAATTATTATAAAATACACATTAGTAACTGCTGTGAATGTACTGATTTTTTTTATATCACGTACGTAGCAACCTACTATTTAAAAAGCATCAGAAAATCAAGCTGCTATGTTATTTATTTAATGGGAAAACTAACTGTACTGCATATCTTTCACATGGAAAATATAAAGAAGTGTGTTAAAAACTAAAAGCACTTTCTCAAAAAAAATATTAAGTTATATTCCATATGTCAACTAATTCAAGTAAGCATAAGGCACATTGTAAGCATTTCCTCTTCTTTTCTTAAGACATCCTTGAACTATATGTTGTAGGAGTGTATATCATTTAATGGGAAAACTGAAACAAAGAAGTAGGAAATTATTTGGTTAAAGATGTATTGCAGCAGAAGAATGAATTTAGTATAGCCTAGTGTATACTTTGACCGTGACTTATGCTCAACATCTTTTAAGTTTGTTCAGAGTATTAGTATCATAATTAAGAAACATTTGTTCTGTGTATTCTATATGCAAAGCTTAAATCCATTTTGTAATTATCTTAATGGTCAGACTACCTTTTTTTTAGAGGAAAATTGAATTTTCTGATTCTAGATTTCATTAGAATCAAGTGTTAGCCTTTTTTAAAATTTTTGTTTTTTAAGCATTGGCATTTGAAGTCATAAGACAGAGAGTAAAGAGGTAATCTATTAATTAGACTGAAATATTAAATCTATTCCTTTTCTCCCAAGATACTAGTTTTCCCAGAAGGTACTTGTACTAATCGTTCCTGTTTGATTACTTTTAAACCAGGTGAGATAAATTAAATTATATATTGTAACAAAGTAGTATGGAAGATTTCTCAAATGATTTATAGTAATACAGTACACAACAAAATAACTCTTTAGTTTGCTCTGAGCATTTCTGTTTTTCTGATAGAAAGTTTTTAATGTCGTGAATTCATAGAACTCACTCCTTTGCTTTCTTTTTTGATATTGTAACCCCGTGTGTGTGTGTGTGTGTGTGTGTGTGTGTGTGTGTGTGTGTGTGTGTGTGTGTGTTTGAGCAGAAACCAGCAACATTTTTCTTTTCCTTCAAGGAACCCTCACAGACACCTGGGGTTCTCTGTCATCATGTAGAAAACTTATTTCATAAGCTTTATAATGTCTTCAAATGCCTTCTAAGATTCACTTCTTTTTTAACATTACAAAGTCAGTCATGAAGGCAACTTCCATTGTTATGTATTACACTTTAAAATATTTTTGCATTGGCTGGTAGAATGTTCAGCACCAAAATTATGACTCACTCCTACCAAGTGTTGTAGTTCATACTTAATACATCTGGTTTCATCTAAGTTTTCTTCTTATTTTCCTTGTGTTGATTTTGTTATTTTTTTTTAATCCTTAAGGGATTTGGAAAATGAAAACAAGTGGGGAAATAAATAAATAAGTATTTTAAGTGGCTTAGGCACTGCACATAATATTTTGCTTAAATAATTCTTAATTTTAGAAATTCCTCATTTTGGTAAACACTACGGATTTATCAACATTTACAAATAGTTTCTGTTGTGTATACTCTTCAAATACTCCATATACTTATACTATTTATTATTATTTTTTTCTTTATTGTAAAACTTTTATTCATATAAAAACATGTTATAAAATTTTGTGACTATAGGAGCCTTCATTCCAGGGGTTCCAGTGCAGCCAATCCTCCTCAGATACCCAAACAAGATGGTAAGTATAGTATTTTACTATGGGAAGAATCTCATTCCAAACAGAATAGATTCTCTAGGACCCCTTTTAATATTTGAATAGGGGTATACTCAACATCACTCAGCATTCGGGAAATGCAAATCAAAACCACTTTCAGATACCATCTCACTCCAGTTAGAATGGCTAATATCCAAAAGACTGAGAATGACAAATGCTGGCAAGGTTGTGAAGAAAAAGGAATCCTACACTGTTGATGGGGCTGCAAAATGATGCAGCCTTATGGAAAATGGTATGGAGGTTCCTCAGACAATTACAGATAGATCTACCATGTGACCCAGCTATTCCACTGCTGGGAATATTCCCAGAGGAATGGAAATCATCATGTCAAAGGGATACCTGTAGTCTCATGTTTATTGCAGCGCTATTTACAATAGCCAGGAGTTGGAACCAGCCCAAATGTCTGTCATCAGATGAGTGTATAAATAAAATGTGGTATATCTACACAATGGAATACTACTCTGCTATAAAAAAAAAAAAAAGAAATGCTTCCATTCACAGCAACATCGATGGACTTAGAGAAAATTATATTAAGTGAAATAAGCCAGGCACAGAAAGAGAAATACCACATGTTTCACTTATTTGTGGGAGCTAACAATAAATAAATATACAAACAAATAAATAGAGAGGGGTGGGGAAGAAGACACAACAATCACAACAATTCCTTGAACTTGTTAAGACAAGTGAACAGATATGATTCTGATGGCAGGGAGGGGAGAAAGGAGAAATTGGTACTGGGACACAAAAATCGACTACATTGTATATTAATAAATTAAAATAAATTTAAAAAAATATTTGAATAGGGGTATGAATAGATAAACAGTGGAAGCCCATGGGCAGATTCATTCTGCTTGTCACATCTAGTTTTTAAAATTTTGCAAGATAGGCATATATTTTTTGATACCAAGATTGAACATTGTTTTGCTGTTACTAAGTTTCAAGAAGACATTTCTTTAGCCTCTACTTTATTGTCACTGGGATGGTCATGATTCAGTCTCAGATTTGGATCTTGTAAAACTGGATAGTAGAAATTTGTGATTTTCATTAACCCTAGCAGGAAACTTTTCCTGATTCGGTGATCATTACTGGTAGAGAAGGATTGAAGTAGCGGGATAAATTTGGGGGAGGCTTGGCCTTTAATTACTGTCTCCGTACTTACTAGCTGTGTTACCGTTGGCAAGTAGCTTAATTGAGAAGATATCTGAAAAGAACTTAACATTCTATATAAAGTCCAGAGATGGTTCAGGACTTTAGTCTCTTCTGTTCCAGCTGTTGTCCTCTGGAGATTTATTGTACCACCATTTTCCTAAAGAAAGCTTTTTGGGGGGATGTTTTTGTTCTGAGAGGAACTTTCTTTTCTAGAGCATTTGTGTAAAAAGGCAGGATGTAATTATTAGTTACCCATGCTATTTAAGTGTTATTGATCAATTCAACTTTCTATTTAGAGGCTGGTTTCTCAGCCTGGAACATCTATGGTTAGAAAATAATTAAAATCTATCAAAATTTTTACTCATAGTTCTGCCTATAGGTTTGAATTTTTCATATATTCAAGAATCTTTTCTCCCAAATAACCCCCCTTTTTTCTGGAGAACTGGTGTATTCTGTTTTTAATAAGCAAATTAATTATCCGGATATGTTCATATTAGGAGAATAATAGCTAAGCATGTACAATAGTTTTTTATTTTTTTTAAATTCAGAACAACTAGTTTCGTAAAAAGATATGTGGTGACATAAGGAAGATGGATCTTTCTATGTAGATATATAATCCAGGATGTCATAGATCAGTTCACTGTTCTTTAATGATAATAATAATATATGTATTTTACTTTTCAACATGTTGCTTTTAATTTCAGAAAAATGTACATGATATTTTTGCTCTGGATTAACAGTTTAAATACTTGTGTTATTGTAGGACACTGTGACCTGGACGTGGCAAGGATATACATTGTAAGTCACTAATGTCTATTATTAGTTTATATAAATTTTATTTTAGTGAAGAAAAAGAAATATCCTTTATTCCTTCTTTTTTAAAAAGGCTTCTTTTGGTAAAGGTAAAGATTTCTTATCAGAGTCCTTAATCTTGTAACTGTTAAGTCTCTGTGTAGAGCATCACTATCTTGCTCATTAACCCCTGGTGTCTCCAATGTGCAGAATTCTAGTCATCTGTCATGTTCAAATGGGTCTCAAGTGTCTGTCTACCAGTTTGTAAGGAATATTCCAGTGGCCCAGTTTGCATCATTAGATTTAATTTTGTAGTTTCATTTCCATTGCAGATTTAGCATTATCTGGTGTCTCCATCCTTACTTGATTATACTAGTTTCAGTAATTCAGAACAGTTTAGTCATATGACCTGAAATAGTTGTGATGTGTCTGATATGAACTGAGAAAATAGCTAACCAATATTTCAGTTCCCTTCTTGGATTTTAAAAGCATAGGGATCAACAGTTTCTATAAACATTTGAGAGAGGAGAAGAATGCAGGTTCACTATTAAGCAAGCCGAAGTGAAATAGGCCTTTAAAAAGTACAGAACATGTAGAAACTTACTTTCTCTCACAATCATTTATTTGGTTCCTCCTGGATAAATCTGAGCCTGTTTAAATTTTGGTGAGAGCCATGTGAAACACCTGCATTCGAAGATGTTCCCCAGGAGCTTGCCCAGTTTTGATACTGTTAAGCACAGAGCTCAAATAATATTGTTGATGGATAGGGGACAACCAGTTGGAAAAATTAAAAAGGAAATCATCATTTGCCATCAATCACATTGTGGGCCTCTTTAGATATCTTTTACAGTATCCAACCAAATTCTGAAAATCAGATTTTTTAAATACTATATAATTTCTCCATTTTTTTGTGTATGTAAATTGCTTTGAGATAATAAATTTAAATCAGAATAGGTAACTGATGGACCAGTGGAATAAACATTAACACATGTAAAACATTTATGTTCCTGTTATGCTTCAGTCTTTTGTAGCTGAAGTTAAGCAAATAATACCAAAAATAAAGAACATACATTGTGAAGGATATCCAGACAGCATATTCTTTTTACCTCTCCAGGAAATCAGTTTATTCATTTGGCTGGAATACATTTTTCATGCCACTACTGATTTTGAATTTCTGGTTTTCAGCTTTTATATAAGGGAGAATTGGGAGAAACAAGTATGAAAGCATTTTAGAAAAAGAAGTACCTAAAAATATATTTCCTTTACGGGTTAATTTCTTATGAAGATAGTGACTTTGGGTTCACTGTGCAGTCATTATGACTTTTTTGTTTTGCACAGCTGTTCAGGTAGATGTGGAGGTCAAATAGGAGAAGGCTTTTCAAGAAGGGGGACCAGGAGTAGAGAATAGTTTAGTTAACCTAGCCTTCTACCTGAAAGTATGTGATAAAGGATAAAAGAAAATAGAGAGAATTCAGGAAAGAAGGAAAAAATTTTTTGAGTCAAAGTTTTCTTAGTACTTATAAACAAATATAAAACCTTTAAAAGGCACAACTTTGTTTTGTCCAAATGTCACATTGCACTTATCTATGGCAAATTTCATTTCCACCTTTTTTTTCTGTTCTACTTAATGTTGTTGTTGGCACTGGGTCTGTTACTTCTAAATCACTTTTCTCAATTGCCCTTGCTCCAGGTGCTACTTTAGACACAGATTCTAAGGAAGGGATTTTACACCAAAGCAGATATCCTGAGGGAGAGAGGAGACTCGGAATAGTAGAGATGGGCTGCTATGGAAAAGCTGTTTTGTATCAGTCTAAGAAGTGTTTGGTTTGTCTGTAGTGTGGACAAAACAAGCTAAATGAGATCTACATGTGGCTTCATTTTTATTTACAGCATTCAGAATTTTCAGAACAGATTATGTACCTATCCAAATTGTCAAGGATGTCTAGACGGCATATTCTTTTTACTTCTCAATTCAGTTCAAATAATTGAATTCCATAGTTCCATTTAAATAACTTCAAAACAGTGTACTTTATGGTGCATAATGTGAGTTGACTTTGTTCGAAGTTTATAGATAGTAAAAGATTTTTTCCCATTCGAATGGAAAGTTTGAGAACTAACACATAAACAATTTATAATTAATTATGGAAGCAGTAAATCTACTTTCTAATTCCTTCTTTTAGCTAAATTTCTTGTTTAAATTCTAAATTCCTTAAGTCTCTTTAATTTTAATACGTAAATTATATTTTAAGGGGCCGGCCCGTGGCTCACTCGGTAGAGTGCGGTGCTGGTAACACCAAGGCCGCGGGTTCGGATCCCTATATAGGGATGGCCGGTTTGCTCACTGGCTGAGCGTGGTGCTGACAACACCAAGCCAAGGGTTGAGATCCCTTGGGCCGGCTCGTGGCTCACTCGGTAGAGTGTGGTGCTGATAACACCAAGGCCCCGGGTTCGGATCCCACATAGGGATGGCCGGTTCGCTCACTGGGTGAGCCTGGTGCTGACAACACCAAGTCAAGGGTTAAGATCCCCTTACCGGTCATCTTTTTAAAAAAAAAAAAAAAATTATATTTTAATTTCTTAACAGCAAAAAAAAAAAAAGGTTCATTGTTGTTTTCTTAATCATGTAGTCTGATTCACTCTGCCTGATTTCTGGGCCAATTGTCTAATGAGGCTAAACTAAAAATCCCATAGAAGTCTTATCCAGAGAGTCTAAGTATGTACTGGAAAGTTGCAAGTAGGAACAACTATTTCAAAAATTATGTTTAAGAGGATTGGTTAACCACTTTAAAGAAAGTCTTTGTCTAGCTTTACAATGAAATTTGAAACTTTTCAGAAAATTTCCCCAGTTAGGACAATTTTGATAAAGTTTCTGTTTTTAAATAAAGTCTCACTGATTTTTTTTTTTTTTTTAACTATCAGAAAAGAGTTTAGAAATGTAATGTTCTACTCAGGAGTTTTCCTATAAACACATTTATGTACCTTAAAATGTGGCCTTGGGTAGTTTCTCTAGGAACTTAGGCCTATAAGTCTTTGTAGTCAAGGAAACTTCAAATTTGGGGTTTAGTCTGTTGACCTGTGGCTCTGACTCACAAATCCATATTTGGTATTGGTATTGCATTTGGTGATTTAACTTTGAATGTCAAGAATAGTCATTTAAGCCCAAGAAGTGTGATAGCAACTGTGTAGCATTTATAAACGCAAAATATATGTGAAGTGTAATGTGGGGATGCTTATGTGTAAAGAAAGGATTGTTGAGTGTTATTAGATAATACTTGTATTTCCATATAAAAATAGCCCTCTCTTTTCTCTTCAGCATTCAGCTTGTTGTGCTTACTTGCTGCCAGGTTTTCACAAAGGTAGTGGTTGAGGTAAGTCATTCAGTATGTAGCCTTGTAACTTGAGATTTGGCCTTTCCTTGAATTTTAAATTTCTAGTCAAGAGAGACCAGATGTAAAGGTCCATCACCTCTAAAATAAGCCCTGGTCTTTTACAAATTGTCTATCTAAACCCAGGCTGTCAGATTTAGCCCTTAGAATCCTGTTAGGAAACACCTCTAACTTCTGGGATCTTTCAACATGTAACCACCCAGGATGGCCAGATTGACATCACCCGTTCCCATCTTTTTACTCCTTTAAATGCTGACCTCCACCAAGTTGAACGATCTGCTTTCACACCCTGCCAAAAGGAGCTGAAGGTAGTTGATGGAGCCCCACAACTTTTTGAAGAATATGTTCTGTGA